GGCTATTTCCTAAAAGTTCTTAAGTTATTTCGGAAATGTTCTTACGCTATTTCCTAAAAGTTCTTAAGTTATTTCGGAAAAGTTCTTAGGTTATTTCGGAAAAGTTCTTAAGTTATTTTGGAAATGTTCTTAGGCTATTTCCGAAAAGTTCTTAGCTTATTTCGGAAATGTTCTTAGGTTATTTTCTAAAAGTTCGCTGGGTATTTTTGAAGAGGAACTACGAACAGAAATACCCTACGAACCTTTCGGAAATACATAACGAACTTTTTAGAATGAACCTATATATGTATATAGGTTATTCTTATATGAAAAGATTGTAGTTCCGTTTTAACGAGATATGATCAAGTGCACGCGTACTTTGCGAAAATTCGAAGTCGATTTTTTTGAAAACAAAGCCTCAAACGAGAACGATTTATTGTTTCATGTAAAATCACCCTCTTTTCGCTTGTACCACACTGGTGGATCTGTAACTGTACAGATTACCCTGTATAAATATATAGGATATTTGAGTCACGTGTTGCTGTAGTTTTGTTGTAAAATGTTGATCTAATAAAATTTGTAATTATTTACATTTAATATAATTCTAAATTAATTAATGCAGTCAAATTAATATTTATTAATAATTTCTGGGATTTAAAATTAGTCATACAAAATCATACAATTTTTAATTATATATTATAATGTATAATATATAAATAACAACACACACAAAATAATACAATTAGAATAAAATAATATATTAAATAATATAATAATACAAGACGAAGTAGAAAAAGTAAGGTTATGTCGTACATAAATCGAAATAATTGAATTGTAGTACAGCACCATCTACTGAAATCTTACAGTACGTAGAGACTAAGATAAATTCTAAATGATAAATCCTTTAAAATCAATTAACAAAGTACTAAAATAGAATAAAAAGTAAAGAAAAAAGAAAATACAAAAAGAAAATATGAATAAAATTCCAATATTGTTTTAAAAGTAAAATTTCAAGTATCTTATACAGTTAAAAAGTGTAAGTCAAAGGTTATGTCGTACATAAATCGAAATAATTGAATTCTAATACAACGCCATCTACTGAAATTTTACAGTACCTCAAGACTTAGATAAACTCTAAATAATAAATCCTTTAAAAATCAATCAACAAAGTATTAAAATGAAATAATAAGTAAAGAAAAAAGAAAATACAAAAAGAAAATATGAATAAAATTCCAATATCGTTTTAAAAGTAAAATTTAAAGTATTTTATACAGTAGTTAAGAGAGAGAGAGAGACAGAGAGAGAGAGAGAGAGAGAGAGTATAAGTCAAAGTTTAACCATATCCTTTGCTTTTCAATGGATAATATTAAATTCATAATTCCTCTTCATTGGAAGATATTTAAACAAAGAAATTCCTGAATGATGAAAAGAAAGAGAAAGAGAAAGAGAAAGAGAGAAAGAGAAAGGGATTCTCTTCTTCTTTCTCTTCAAAGTCGAATAGCAAAGGAGGAATATGAAAATAATTGGACAAAATTGGCGGGCGTGACGAGAACATCGTCTGCCGTCTTAATTGCATTCATGAACCCTTTGAGACAGCTCGTTGATGATAGAACGAGTAGCATCAGCAACAGTAACAGTTACAGCAGCATTAACAAGAAGAATAAAAAGAAATAAAAAAAAAAAATAAAAAAAATGAAATAAAAGGAGAAGAAGAAGAAGAAGAAGAAGAAGAAGAAGAAGAACAAAGGGGACTTATAAGCGATTAGGACGCTTTCTTTTACTTCAAAAGTGGCTTGTGGTGTTGTGTGACTTTGCAAGCTGCTCTGGGTTTTACAACGTGTTTTTGTATATATATATATATATATTTTTTTTTTTTTAATTCTTTCAACGCATACAGTTTTTCTTTTTCTTATTCTACTTCTTCTTGTTCTCTTTGTACATCTCTTTCTGTTTTTGCTACCTTTTATCTTTTATCTTTTTTTTTTTTTTTTAAAGACGAGAATAGAAAGTAACGTCACGATGACACAACGATTCGCCTTTTGATTTTGCACGAATGACGTCAAGAAAAACTAACGGGTGGTCTAGTTCTTAGCGAATTGTAGTATCACGAATCTTATTCGATCGATTTTTCTTTTCTTTTCTTTTCTTTTTTGTTTTTTGGTTCAAAGAAATAATGGAGGAATTGAAAATGGAGTATGTTTTTTTTTGTTTTTAATATGTGCAAAGATAAAAATAATTTTCATTTGAAATAACGAATTATGTTATAGGATTTTGTTCATTTATTGTGATTGAATTTTTTGAGTTTGAATTTAGGGAAATAATTTGGAATATTATATGAAAATTGATGTATTTGTTTGTTTTTTTTTTTAAATACAACATTTTGAAATTTATTTACAATGCAAATTACTATTATTAAATTTGTAACAAACTTTGAAACAATTTGGAATCAACTTGAAGAACTGGATTTTGTATTCTAATTCTTGGATTAAAATATAGGGGAAAAAGGGTAAAAAGTTTCTTTGTATTTTATGCTATAAATATTTTGTATTATGATCTTTGATAACTTTGATAACTTTGATAAATAATAATTGATTTTACGAAATACTCAAGTTAATTTGAAAGTTTAAACATCGTATAGAATTATTTAACGAAATAATTATTATACATATATTTAATATTTCATATTTAATATAATTATTTAATAATTATTTTATACGGTCAAATTAATATATTTATCGAGGGTTTTAAAAATGAATGAAAAAAATAATTCGATGAGTTTAAAAATTGTATTACAAAAATGTAACAAAAAAACAATTATTATTTAATATTTTATATTTAGTATTTAGTATTTAATATTTAATAATTCTATATAATTATTTAACAATTATTTTATACAATAAAATTAATATAATTATCGAACGATTTAAAAATGAACAAAATAAATAATTCGATACGTTTAAAAATTGTATTACAAAAATCTAACGAAACAATTATTATTTAATATTAATATTTAATAATTATATTTAATATTTAATATTATTATTTAATAATTATTTTATACGATTAAATGAATATAATTATCTAGTAATTCGAAAATGAACGAAATAAATAATTCGATGCGTTTAAAAATTGCATTACAAAAAAGAAAACTAAAAATAATTGATAAAACAAATAATAAATAATAAATAACAAATAATAAATTTATTTATCTCCGTCCAAATATTATGCATACACACACATACATACACGAATGAATGCAACACACATGAAAATGTTCACACACGCATGAACAAAACATTGATGTATCGTTGAACGGAAGTTACCCGTTAAACGAAGATTCAAGGGGGAAGAAGAAAAAGAAAAAGAAAAAGAAAAAGAAGAAGAAGAAAAGAAAAAGTCAAATATAAAGATAAAGAACTAGAAAAAGGATCTAAGATGTTGACTATCTGGTGATCACCGTAAACGGATTAAACCTTATGCGGGTTGAACGGGGCCTTTTTGAGATCCCGATGTATTTCCTACGAGTGATACTTGAAAGGAAAGAGGAGGGATAAGAAGGGAAGAGAAGGGGAAAGAGGAAGGAGAAGAAGGGGAAGAAGAATAAAGGAGAGGGTAGAAGAATCGAATCCTTTTGCGGGATACCACGGCTCATTTGTTGCATAAAACGGAACTCGAAGTCCATAAACGGCCTTCGACACGGCAACGGCATGCGATCGACCGACCCTTAAGTAAAAAGATAAGGAAGCAAAAAAATTAAAAGAAAAATGAAGGAGAGTTTCCTCAAACCCCCACCACCTTCTAACTAACCCCCACCTTTTTACTAACCCCCACTATCACTCACTCATCCTTCCTATCCATTTCCAGCAGACGTTCTGACCTGCATTTTCTTGGATACCTTCGAAGTTTTTTTTTTTTTTTCACAATTAACGGTTTACAATTATTTTATTTTTTATTATTATTATTATTTTTTTAAATAGTAATATTTTGTTTTTCAAATGGATTCAATTATATCAATCAATTAAGTGTTGTTTTTTTAATAGAAATTTATGGGAAGTATTTATTTATAGAAATGAATTAGTTTTCTGTATATGTAATATTTAAATATTACATTTAAATAATTATATTAATAATAATATATATAAAATTAAAATATTTTAAATTTATTATATTTTTTTTTTAAATTTAAATTATGATTATTTAATTAATATACAATTGTTATATTAAGTTTTACTTAACGTTAAGATTGCAATATTTTAATAATAATTAATTGTATTTCATTGGTTTAATTTTTGTGCGAGAAAAATGTATTAATTTTCTAATTTATTCTAGT